AAGAATGGAGGTGTCGAGAAATCTAGATCCACTGTAACGAAGGCTTTCTTTGTCAAAATTTTATAACTTTCAATATGAGTAATTCGGAATATTTTTCAGGATTTCATAATTCTTAAGAGATTGATAAATGGTTGAAGTCTCCTACATGTATTGCAACCCAAGTTCAGTTAACTTTAATTTGAAAAGGGCGATCTGTTTCTGAAATTGTCACAGAATTGTTACAAACAACTTACGCCATGCGCGGATCTGGGCTGTTATGTTTTCAAATTGGCAAATTCATGGATGCTTCATGTTTTCAAAATTGATTAATCTATCGCATAGTCTCCTTCGCAGCTGTTATTGCAAAGGAATCTACATCGTCTCTATCACAGGAAAAATACAATAGATCCTTTCCAATGTCACACAATAAAAAATAAATGAAACACCATACAGTACTTGTGGATAAAGAAGATCAGTATTTTTCCTAGGGTTAGGTCTTTGCATTTGCCCAAACTTAAGACATTTGTATAAATGTTTTGCAGAAATTTACAGAGCTCACAGTATGGAAACGCTGTGTTGGATTACCTTCGTGGTCAACTGATTGTCTCAGTTTCAAATGTAATATGGGTGAGCACTAGCTAAATACAGTAGCTGGAAGGTGTGTGTGATATAAATGAGAGACTTTTCACATAAAAGCATCGCGGCTGCATACAAGAATGTCCGTTGGTGGGAATGACTCAATACAGAGTTTGTATGGGTGTTCAAACAGGGTTTTGTGAGGGCAGTAGTAAGAAGAGCTGTCCGCTAACGAGAGTGTTCAACTTCAAAAGATAATGAATGGCAACAGCATACATTTGTAGAAAGAAACTAGGATGTACTATCAACTCTTAAAAACTGACATCCCTAATGTCTCACGCTCCTATTTGCCAGATGCCCCTATATGTCAGACGTCCCTACTGTATATGTCAGATGCCCCTATTTGTCAGATGCCCCAATTTGTCAGATGCCCCTATTTGTCAGATACCCCTATATGTCAGATGCCCCTATATGTCAGATGCCCCTATTTGTCAGATGCCCCTATTTGTCAGATGTTCCAATATGTCAGGTCATCCAAAGGTAATCCAACATGGAGTTTCCATACTGTGGGCACTGTAAATTTCTGCGAAACATTTACACAAATGTCTTAAGTTTGGGAACACGCAAAGACCTAACCCTAGGAAAAATAATGATTTTCTTTGTGTTTCTTGACTTTATCCACTGTATGGCGTTTTATTTATTTTTTTATTGCTTGACATTGAAAACGATCTATTCTATTTTTCCCATGATTGATACAACATAGATTCCTTCGCAATAACGGCTGCGAAGGAGACTACCCGATAGATTAATCAATTTTGAAAACATGAAGCATCCATGAATTCGCCAAAACATAACAGCCCAGATCCGTGTGTGGCGTAAGTTGTTTGTAACAATTCTGTGACAATTTCAGAAACAGATCGCCCTTTTCAAATTAAAGTTTACTGAACTTGAGTCGCAATACATGTAGGAGACTTCAGCCATTTATGAATCTCTTAAGAATTATGAAATCCTGAAAAGTACTCAGAATTATTCATATTGAAACTTATAAAATTTTGACAAAGAAAGCCTTTGTTACAGTGGATCTAGATTTCTCGACACCTCCATTCTTTGAACCTCAGCTCAGCGAACCAATTTATTATTAGTCTTTTCCTTCCCCTGTAGTCGCTAGAAGTCAAAAGCTGTAATTTTAACACTTTTTTTTTTCTAATAAGTCCTAAGCTGTCATTTTAAACCATTTATTAGCAGTGTCACACATTAACCATGCAGAGGTAATCATAAACTTTTGGCATTTTGATATAGCGCCCCTATATGTCAGACGCCCCTATATGTCCTGAAGACGCCCCTATTTGTCAGGTAGAGTTACCAATCTTAGTGCTGCTGCGAGCTTAAAGCTTTTCGCAACTTTTTTCTTGCAACGGTACAAGTGGCATAAAGCAGATGCTTGGTGTAAAGAGGGCTTACGCAGAAAGTGTTCCCATTCATTCCCACAGAAGATCTATACTGAAACCACGCAGATCTGGAGCAAGGTTTGTTCATGGATGTTAGCATTCAGTAACGCTGCAGCTTATATTTGTACACTAATCACTGTACAAATAACTCTAAAATCCTCTAAATTTTAAATGATTTGTGAAAAAGTTAAACTTCAGGGGATAGAAAAACACCTACCGGTTTAAAAGCCTCCGGCAAATCTCTGATGTTATTCAAAGCAACGCGAGGAAATTGCCTCAAAGCAGCAAGGTTTTTTCTGATGTGACACGCCGCCATGTTGGTTCCTCTGATTCTGGTTTGGTCCCAGGTTTCTTTCGTTCACTGGACGTCGTGTTTGGGAGAAAGACTTGGGTCCAGTTTTCGCGCGTCAGGCTAAAATTTCCCAGTAAGCACCCTTCACGTAAGAACCATTATTAAAATCTCAATACTGTACTGTGAATGATGATTCATGGACTAGAAAGTTCGGGTGACACTCTTCAAGTGTTATGTCTTTTGTCACCCTTTCTTTTCCTGTGGAAAACTAAAAGAGTTTCTGTATCAAGTCTCAGTTTCTTGCCAACTTGCTCTAGACCCACCAGTTCTATGTTCGCGGGTACGCCGTGAACTAGCATAACGTACGCTTGCATCATAGTTAGTAGAAGGAACAAAGCAAAGCCTTTCACTGATTTAGTTGACCGTCAATGCAAACACTGTGCGGACGGCTACCGTCTGGTCTGTGGTTCCTTCGTGTGTACGTGGCATCCTGTACGATGGAGTCAACTCCAAGCATCAGAACCCATGAGCTACAAGTCAACATTTACGCAAGTTCCTAAGAGTTGACAGCTGTGGAAGTGTGGTTAAGATGCTATCGTAGGGCGAGTTACCATCTGTGGCCCCTTTCTTGTTTGTTTGTTTGTTTGCCTTTTTCCAGTTTCGCAAACAGCCGACGAGACTTGCCTGGAAGGTTTAGGCTTCATGATGAAAATTACAGAGGCGATGACCAAATCATGCCAGTAGCGCTAGCTGATCTTCTGGTCTACTTCAGTACCCCCGATCGAACTGCTGGAGAACGAGAGCGGCTCGACTTCCAAAGGACAAAAATTGAAGAAAATTCAAAGTATCTATGGTCTAACCCTGCTGCAAACTGGCTTCATTGTACCCTACAAGGCAGCCTGATCGGAGACGAGGGGAATCTCAGTTCTTAGAGATTGAACAGTGAGTGCAGTTGTCTCACAGCTGAGTGTAATGCTCTTTCGACTGAAAACA